TGTGGTAGCCACGGCCACCCATCTGATAATTGTGTTACTGCGCCTCACTGTGTGAATTGTGACGGGGAACACGCCGCGTATTCGCGTTCGTGTCCTAACTGGAAGAAAGAAAAAGAAATAATCACTCTTAAAGTCAAAGAAAACATCACATTCAAGGAAGCAAGACGAAGAGTGTCGCCATTTTACGGCGCAACATATGCTGATGCGGCGCGTCAGGGGGCAACGCCGCACCAGCCCTCGCCACCCCTTCGGCCCGCGCAGAGCGAGCCGTCGGCTGTGGCACCTGCCCCCAAGGCGGCTGTAGCCCAGGCTACACCGCCTACTCCCAAACAGAGACCGGAGACTCCAGAGTCTTCGGGTCTCAAGGCCTCCCCTCACCAGGCGAGGCCCGAAATCCAAACTAACAGCCCGCACGTGCGGGCATCCAGTGCCTCCGAGGAGGCAATGGATACGTCGGCACCCTTGGTGCCGAAACAGCGGCGTGGCTCCTTGGAGCGCGCCAAGAAAACAAAAAAGCAAATAACAGGGCCTGGTAATGGCCCTGTTAAGTGAACTCAAACTCCCCGTCTAAGCAGCCACTCGCTTTTGGTACACACAGCACTATTTCACATTCACCATGAACACTCAAATTATACAATGGAACGTCAGGGGCCTTCTCAGAAACCTTGACGACATCCAAGAACTCTTACATGAACACTCGCCAAAAGTGCTGTGTGTACAAGAAACACACCTCAATTTAAAACACACAAATTTTCTTCGTAAATATGTTATTTTCCGAAAAGACCGTGTTGATGCTATGACATCATCCGGAGGTGTTGCCATACTAGTGAATCAAGGAATAGCATGCACACACTTACAACTCCAAACACCCCTTGAGGCAGTGGCTGTTCGAGTGGTTCTTTTTGATAAACTGATCACAATCTGCAGTATTTACATTCCTCCTAGCTATCAGCTCCAAAAACGCGATTTACACTCTCTAATTGATGAACTTCCGGAGCCTTATGTTCTCCTTGGAGACTTTAATGCGCACAGCAGGTTATGGGGTGACTCTCGGTATGACGCGCGAGGTCGACTGATCGAACAGTTCCTTATCTCGTCGAGCGCGTGTCTCTTAAATCGAAAAGAACCAACCTATTATAACCTCGCTCACCTACTCCTCCATAGACCTGCTCCTCCAACACCTACTCCTCCATAGACCTGAGCATAGTATCTCCATCTCTTGTGCCTCTACTCCAGTGGAAAGTCGTCAGTAATCTGTACGGAAGTGACCACTTCCCCGTAGTTTTGAGCACAACGACAGTAACTGAGTGTCCACCACGTGTTCCCAAGTGGCTCATAAACAGAGCCGATTGGGAACAGTTTCATACTATCGCTTGTCTAGGTTGGAATGACATCTGTACTTTGAACATTGATGTTGCTGTGAACTACTTCACAACGTTTTGGATTGATGCTGCAACAAAATGCATCCCACAAACAAATGGACACCTTGGAAAACGATGTGTGCCATGGTGGAATTCTGAATGCCGAAACGCGCGCAAACAGCAAAACAGAGCTTGGAGGCTGCTTCGGAACTCACCGACAGCCGAAAATCTTGAAACCTTCAAGAAAATAAAGTCTCAAGGCAGGAGAAGGCGTCGGCAGGCCAGAAGAGAAAGCTGGCAGAAGTTTTTATCAGGGGTTAATTCGTACACACAGGAGGCTAAAGTCTGGAACATGGTCGGTAGGATAGCAGGAAAACAAGTATACACACTTCCACTCGTAAACACTCAGGGTGATACCTTGGAAGATCAGGCAAACTTCCTCGGTGCACACTTCGAACAGGTATCCAGCTCGTCCCACTATACTGACACTTTCCAAAAATACAGAACAAAAATAGAAAAGCAGAAACTCGAACACAAATCCACTAGATACGAGGCATATAACCAAGCTTTCAATCTAGCTGAGCTCCAAACATCTCTAAACTCCTGCAGTACTTCTGCCCCAGGTTCTGACCGTGTGATGTATGAAATGTTAAAAAGCCTACCAAACGAAACCCGAAAAACCTTACTTTGTTTGTACAATGCTCTTTGGTCTTCTGGCACTATTCCTACCTCCTGGAAAGAGGCTATTGTTATTCCCATTTTGAAAGAGGGCAAGGACCCTTCTTTACCCTCGAGTTATAGGCCTATAGCACTTACAAGCTGCTTGTGCAAAGTCTTCGAAAAAATGATAAACTGCCGACTTGTACATTTTCTTGAAACAAATAATTTGCTCGACCCATTTCAGTGCGGGTTTCGAGAAAGTAGATCCACCACAGACCACCTTATTCGTATCGAGGCACACATCAGAGACGCGTTCGTCCATAAACAATATTTCCTCTCTGTGTTCCTCGATATCGAAAAGGCTTATGATACTACATGGCGTTACGGAACTCTAAGAGACCTGTCCCACCTTGGTGTGCGCGGAAGAATGTTTCATATAATCGAAAGTTACCAGTCAAACCGGACATTCCGTGTCCGTCTGGGCAGTGTGCTCTCCCAAACATTTGTCCAGGAAACAGGCGTGCCACAAGGTGGTGTGCTTAGTTGCACACTTTTTATTATTAAAATGAATTCTTTGCACTTGTCCATTCCCCGCAATATGTTCTATTGTACATATGTCGACGACGTTCAGCTTGGCTTCAAGTCATGCAACTTGGCCATGTGTGAGCGACAGGTTCAGTTAGGTTTAAACAAGGTCTCCGAATGGGCAGAGGAAAACGGATTCCGACTGAACCCACTAAAGAGCACGTGTGTGTTGTTCTCCCGAAAGAGAGGCATGCACTCAGAACCTGACATTGAATTGAACGGTCAACGTCTGTCTGTCAATGTGGAGCATAAATTCTTAGGATTAATCTTGGACAACAAGTTGACCTTCGTACCGCACATCAAGTATCTAAAAACAAAATGTTTAAAAGCCATGAATGTTTTAAAAGTGTTGTCACGTACTACGTGGGGTAGTGACAGGCAATGTCTCATGAATCCGTATCGAAGCCTCATTCGCACCCGCTTAGATTATGGGGCCAATGTTTATCAGTCTGCAACACAAAGTGCTTTGAAGATGCTGGACCCCGTGCCCCATTTGGGCATCCGCCTTTCTACGGGTGCTTTTCGCACCAGCCCCGTAGAAAGCCTTTATGTTGAGTCGAATGAGTGGTCGCTTCATCTTCAGAGAACTTACATGTCCTTTGTTTATTTCCTTAAGGTGAAAGCAGATAAGAAGCACCCCTCATACTCCACTATTATTGATTTGTCGAGCTCCATTCTGTTTCAAAACAGGCCTTCGATGAGGCAGCCCTTCTCAGTTCGCCTGAAAAGTCTAGCTGAGGAAACTGGAGTCTCACTTGAACATAGTTTAATGGCTCCTGTAGCATATCTGCCACCGTGGCAGTGGCAGACTATAGACTGTGATGTGTCCTTTCTTGAAGTTACAAAACATGCGCCTATTGCCCATATCCGAACATACTTCCTGGAACTTCAACACAAATACACACGTCCTGAGTTCTTCACAGATGCCTCCAAGTCTAACTCCTCTGTGTCCTACGCTGCTGTCGGCCCATCCTTTTCGGATGCTGGCCCTCTACATCCAGGCACAAGTATCTTCACAGCGGAAGCCTACGCGATACTTGTGGCGGCTAAACACATCAAGCAATTACAAATACAAAAAGCAGTAATTTATACAGACTCCCTCAGTGTAGTAACGGCTCTGCACACTCTTAAAAAACACAAAAACCCAGTCCTTGTCTCACTTTACTCCATTTTATGCACACTATACACACTCAAACAACATGTTGTAGTGTGCTGGGTGCCAGGGCACCGTGAGATTCAAAGCAACGTGAGGGCGGATCAGCTCGCTGCATCCGTCCACAAAAGCACTGCCCCTACACCGATATCAATCCCGGCCGTTTATCTTAAGCCGTCTCTCAAACGAAACCTCAGAGTATACTGGCAGAGCAAGTGGGATACACACACACAAAACAAACTACACGTTATTAAGCCACACCTTGGTCATTGGCTGCCTGTATCGAAATCTCGTCATACAGAGGTAATACTAACGAGACTCAGGATAGGACACACATACACAACACACACACACACCTTTTGTCCGGTGGCGATCCACCATTGTTTGACAGATGTGGTGAAGTATTGACAGTCCTTCACATTTTAATTGAGTGCAAACAATTGGACACTGTAAGAAAACAACACTTTCCATTACCCTACCGACAACATATACCTTTGCACCCTGCAATGTTCATCGGTAGGGAACCGCTTTTTAGTCACAAATCATTGTTAGCGTTTTTTAAAGAAATTCATAGTTTTCACATCATATACCCGGGCATCCCGTAGCATGACCTCTCCAGAGAGGTTTTTGCTGCGGTGGTTACACAAGAAAGCACTTGCCTCACGGCCCTTGGACGCAAGGGTATGAACGTGTGAGGCACTTGTGCTAATGCCATACATATCCACCATCGTCTTTTATTATCACCAACTTTTGTCATCTATTCACACCGCACACACCTTTCACGACATGGTCATGATTTTATTACTTGTATGTTTTTACCCGCCTTACCGCGAGGAATTTTATGGCCCTTATACAGCCGCTTATCACAATCATTGTCCATGTTTTTAGTAAGATGAACTGCGCTCTTTGGCCGTGAAATGGCCCTTGCGCCATAAAACATCAAACATCATCATCATTGCTTCGACAACCATGTCGTGTCAGTGACTGTATGAGGGGTTTGAACGTTCGGTTTCAGTCCAAATTTCTGTCTGAGGAAATGATACATACGGGTCGTATCTTAGCGTGGAAAGAACCTATCATCACCTTATCACCTAGCTAAAGCCTAGCAACGACCCGGAAGCAACCTGGAAACAACACTCCTCACTTAGCTGACAAACGTGCAGGTTCTCTGCTTCAGTGATTGCGGGATTTCGCGGTAGCTTCGACAGTTTTACACTTCAGAAACTTTCACGCTTACTTACCAAGTATCGCTGGTCCAGAGAGGCACATGGGTACTCCGACAAGTCCTCCTACTCCGCAGCACAAGCTGAACAGCTCCACACCGACGTGGTCGGCGACCAACAATGGCCGCATACAGAGCACGTAGCCTTGAGCCACGCCTGCTACGCCAGCGAGGGCTGCAACTCCTTCAAAAGCAGAGACACGCGTAATGACGAGGAAACAGACAGCCATCACGTAAAGGCACGCCATGGCGATAGAAGAGCGGCTAAAAGAAATTTTGTCCAACAGCAAGGGCACCACCACACGTCCCACAGCCTGTCCCATTGCGGCGAACATAATTGTCCTTTTGGCACGGCCAAGCTCTGCACCCTTGTCTTTTGCATAATCCACAATAGTGGTCATGAATACCGCGTTGCTGTAGTCCGAGACGACTTGCAGCAGCACCAAAACAATGAATGGCAACCATACCACCACGGGGAACACGCTGGGAGCCCCCTGTGATGGCGTCGACAGTTCCTCACAATGAAGTGGGGCGAAGCGTTCCTCTACGTTCGATAAGGGCTCGACTTTCTCAATGGCGGGCCGTCTCTCCACGTCATTTTGCTGCGAATATATAGGCCCTGTAATTTTGCAATTTTTTCGAAACATGCGACAACGGCGAGGTGTCTTGATAAGCATCACTACTGGCAAGATGTGAAGCATCAAACCAGCCGTCAGAAGAAGGCTGCCTTGCAGACCATATTCCTTCACGAGAAACGATATCCAAGGTACGCCCGTTACACCAGCTGCGACCATGCCAATATCCTTGATGGCGGTAGCAGTGGCCTTGTACTTGTCGAAATAAAGGAGCAAGTACATGGCGACGCCTAGCAAGGTGATTCCCACTCCAGCGCCTGCGAAAAAATAGATCCCTCAAGCAGTCAAAACTTCATACCATAAAAGTTTTTTTTTTGTAGGAATGCTGGTAAAATGAAAAGGACTAAACACTTAAGCCACACATACGACACTATCTTCATTTTGTGTCTGATCACAGGGTGAATTACTAGATGCTAATATTTTTTTCACCAAATGACCTTACCAGTAGTTTCTGCTAAGTTACACTGCTGCAAGTAATATATTCAACTTATAATTTTCAACAGCTCTATCTATCTATCTATCTATCTATTTATCTATCTATCTATCTATCTATCTATCTATCTATCTATCTATCTATCTATCTATCTATCTATCTATCCATCTATCTATCTATCTATCTATCTATCTATCTATCTATCTATCTATCTATCTATCTGTCTATCTATCCTCATAATTACCTCGTGGTTGTGAGACACCCAATCCCAGATATTGTGAGCGCAGTTGATGACTATTCTTTGTCATCTGGAGTTATCATCGTAATTTTTACAACTTTCTCATATGTAGATATTATCACCAACATGTGTGAGACCGAGCTCGACTCAAATAAAACTGTGCCTCACAATATTATTATTATTATGCTATTTATTGCGACCTAAATTTATTTATTGTGACCTAAATTAATTTATTGTGACGTGAAAAGCACAACGCATCCATCACAATGTTGCCATGTACCCTATCATACGTTAGATATCACTTTTTACTGGTCAGCAGTCGAGCAGCTTGATACAGACCACCGTGGCGGGTAGTTTCAATTGTCCTCGCAAAAGAAATAAAGATGTCGACACTTTGTTATCTTTTGAGCACCCTCTGTTTGGTTGCATTGTCTGTCCAAAATGAAATCATTAATTTTCATATAGATATATATATAGATAGATAGATAGATAGATAAGAGAGAGATAGATAGATAGATAGATAGATAGATAGATAGATAGATAGATAGATAGATAGATAGATAGATAGATAGATAGATAGATAGATAGATAGATAGATAGATAGATAGATAGATAGATAGATAGATAGATAGATAGATAGATAGATAGATAGATAGCTTCGCTCAAAGTCTTCTTAAAGATATCATGGTTTCGGGATGTTAAAATTCAATGTGTACTAGAGTATGATATTTGGCACGCGTGATGGCTTCGAGATTCCTCCAGAATGTCGTAGAACGCAGTAGAAACCTCACCGGTCGTCTCTCAAAAGTTCCAGAACACCTTCGAATTTGGCGTGAGCGATAGAACCACGCATTTCGTTAATCAACGACCACAAAGCACCACCCTTAGTGCTGCCACAGACGAATTGTACAGTTTTGTGGGCACATATCCTCATGATAAGCGTATTTCTCCGTTTAGTAGGCTCCTGTCTACGAAACTGCAGTCACTCCTAGGTGAAATTCGACAAAAAGTTTAAACTTCGTGGCAGTATTTGAATAAACTTAGATACATGATATAATCTAAATGACAAATCGTGCCACAAAATTATGTCATATGCTCCTTCGCGTGACCTGTTTGGTGCAGCGCTTCAGCGTTTCTGGTTTCGGTGCTGCCAAGACAGAGCAGTACACTAACTTGTCCTCACCGTCAGCATTCTTACCTTGTAGTACTCCGAAAGTAACTGAAAGCCACGCGATGTTGGGAGCAAAGCTTGCTGCTACGAGGCCCGCAGAAGCCACGATCCCGCCAGCGAGGGTTATGCGGTAGATCGAAATTTTCTTTTGAACCACGCTGATGAGGAGGCCTGGAAGTGTAGTATATTACATATTTGTTGAAGTCTTGGAGGCTGAGAGCCGCCGTAGAGCGCAATTCACGCTTTTTAAAAGGTTTTTTTATTAGAACCTTTTCCAATGATGTTCGTATTCTTAAATGCTTATGTAAATTATAATTCTCGCTGTGCTGCAGTCAGGTGTTGTAAGTAATAAGGTGGCTTGCTTACAAATCGGTCGAAAGACATTTCTTATTAAACAGTCTTCTGCCTCTTTATAAAATGAACAAAAATATAGTTTAATCACTTGTTTACTGATTAGTTCATCGGTCGATTGATTGTTTGATTGTTTGATTGAGGAGTTCAAGGAGACACTTATTGTCCTTCATTTGGGGCAGTATTTGAGGGGGCTAGAGGACGTCAAACACCTTAGCAGCTATTACTTGGAGGGACAGTCATTAAAATATCCATTTCCATGTCAGATTTCAAATTTGTTTTGTATGGTGGACGTTGTTTGGTGTAACATCATTGTGCGTTGGAAGGATCTTACGAAGCCAAATTTAACATAGGCTAATTCAGAATTAGCACGTAACTATGTCATGTTACTGATACAAGACGCAAGAGCTACTGCCAGGCTCTTCATCGCCTCATTCCTTATTGATTAGCGAAAATAAGACACAAGGAAATAGACGAGCGAGATTGCGCAAGCGCTTCTTTGTGTGGAAGTTGTTTGTACATCGGAAGAAACACAGCGCGAAAGAAGTCAGTGCTGTGTGTGCGTCCCCCTTCCAGCAGCTGATGTGCACTGATTGCCCGTATTTTTATTGACAGATCCTCAGTTTAGTAATTACCCAGTGGATAAATTTTTCTCATTAAGCAGTTTGTTCTGATTTTAATTTTTTTCATGGTCACATAGCGGCATTGAACGATGTTACTAAAGTGTGCCTCACACAAACTTCAAAACATTTCGCAATTAATAATGGAGATAAGGGCTTTAGTGGCAAAGTGGCCTACACTATGTTTATATCGGTTCCGCAGTTCCACACAGGTCCACGAGTTGCTTGCAACCCACTCAACATCATCTGTTAAGCGCATGTAAAATTCCTTGAAGCGCCCACCTGCTGTAAGACAGCATTTCACTCCACTCCAAAGACCACACCACATTAATTTTCTAGATGTCAAAGGCATAACTTTCTCTGCCATACAGTGTAAGCTCCAAGTGTGCTAAGGACAAAACCTTCCACCCCGAATAACAGGGCGAAAAATAAGACAAAGCAGAGCAAAGTTTGAGGCAAGAACAAGAGGTGCAGGCACGCACAAAACGTTAAAGCACACTACGGCTGTCATATGAAGAAACATTCTTACCCACGCAACCACCAGATATGACGAGTGAGGTCTGAGGCCAGGCGGCTTGCTCACGACTGAGTTCATACTTTTGCATGAAGAGCACGTAAAGGAACCCATAGCTGGATGAGGCCATGCACGATAGGAAAGTGATTCCGGCTGCTGCCACAGGCACACCCCAGCACCTGTCCAAGTGCACGACGGGCCTCTGTCTGTCCGTGGTACTCCGCATATGTGAACTGTGCCTGTGGTGATAGCAAAAAGGGTTCAGCTGGACGGAATAGGACTTACAGCAAGATTGCACGCTGACAACCTTCACATAATCATGGTAACACTCATTCGACAGCAACGTACGTAAGCAAGCTGGTTTAAATTTAAGAAAAGCGTATGAAGCTGACACTAAAATCACCATATATTATTGTCTCTGTGGTCCACGCTAATTAGCAACGATTAAAAAATGCAGATTAGAGAAGTTCATGTGTGTAATGCTCATTTTCAGAGCGTGGTGTCCATGCACATCTTTTGAATATCACTAATGTTCTCGCTATTGTAACACTGCGATCGCTTCGTGTAAAAATGGAGGTTACTATTTTGTTTCTGACACTTTAATTGAAATATGTTTGGTTGATGTTTTTATATTTCTTTAAATTCCAAACGATTAAAGCCTGATACAATAAAGTTGAATAAGTTAAGTTCTGATTTCGCAAGAGTTGCATTCGCAGAGTATTATTACTTCAATAGATCATGAGTAATGCGCTTAAAGCGAGATATAGTTAACCCAACGATGTTCAGTCTGATTGCCTTGTAGGGATAAAAACACCGTAGAACAAAGCGAATGCAGTAAACAGGTATAATTTGCCTGTAACTGTTTGCGTCGCTTTTTATTCTTATGACAATGCCCAGACGCTGCCTGCGTCCCCTCGAGACGCCGCCTGCGTCGCCTCGAAAGACAGACGCAGGTAGCGTCTGCTATGAATAAAAAAAACGACTGCTCGCGCTGCACAAACGTTCACTGACCAACTCTTATGTGTAGGCACTGGATCGTGCGTATGCAAATCAGTCAAGACCGTCTTTACATGCCTTTCGCTTGACGTTGAAGGCAACTATTCTCGTTTCTTCCGTGAATAAAAAACTAAAGACGAAATAATTGTAAGGCATTCCCTAATAACGCAGCATTCACGCAATACCCCCCCCCCCCCCCCCCCACGCTGCAACGCAATAACTCTAGTTCCCCCTGTGGCAATATCCATTGAAAAACTGAAACTTCCACAGCTGTATCAGCGGAAGCGCGCGTTCAACTGTATTAGCTTTGAAGAACACGCATAATATCTATCACACTTACACAAACGCGCACACAACATCGTTCGTCCATTACTAAAACTCTCACTCAGACAGTGTTGCCAATTAGCGGAGCCGCTTTTTTCCTCTCTGATGTAAAAAAAAATTCCTAGATTTCCCTAGACTTTCACGGAGAGTGGTTTCTTGAAGACTATTTGTGTTTGTGCTGTAGAAAACAATTTCCAAGTTCACTCTAATGATATCATGGTGCATTCGTTTGGAAACATTCACTAAAGTACCATGCTGGAGATGAAAAAGTGTCGCAGTATAAATTGAAAAGCTTTAAACGACATTTTATTCCATGAAATTACAAAGCGGTCATCACATTAGGGGGGGGGGACATTTAGTTTGGCAGTATTTTATACAAATCACCAAGAAAGAAGTATTGCATATAGGCCAAAGAAGAGATAAATAATCGAAATAATATTTAGTAACACTGTTAGCGGTTGGATGCAAAAAACAAAAAGTTTGCACTTCGAATAGCATGCAAGTCAGGAAATTATAATAATAATAATAATAATAATAATAATAATATAATAATAATAATAATAATAATAATAATAATAATAATAATAATAATAATAATATTAAGAATAATGAGAATATAAAGCGCTGCACGTAAAATATTCCAGCAAGCAAGGTTTGAAAATTAGTTCTTTTGCAATAAATGTTATTCTGTATTTATTTTAAAATTGTGTTATTTTGCAACAACTCTGCAGAAAACGCTTGGTGGTATTCATATGAAACATGAAGTGGAGCACGCTCACATAACTCACAAGCAATGTCTTGAAAAACGAAGCTTTGTTAAGGTATCTGATACAGTATATATGTGAAGTAAAGTATTTTAACCATAAATGCGTATTATGCCAGGTGGTACTTCATCCTCTGCAACCTGCTGAATGGTTACGAAAATATACGTTTATTAGAATTGTTGACTGCTTATATTCGTTTCAAATATATCCTTGCAGTCTTCCACCACCCACTGTCTTTTCCAGGCTTCTCTTTTTCAGCTGTGCGAATAACCGCATACATGCAACCTACTGCTCTGGCCGGGCTTTTCACAGAAACCTTCGTGACCTTGGCGGAGCCACATGACTCCACAGGGCAGTTCACTAGCAACGTGACAGCGCTCGCAAAGGAAGAAAACTGATGAAAAACAACAAACCAAAGAAATAACGCCGCGTGTGAAAGGCGAGAAAATAGGAGGTTGATGTAAAGGAAAACATATACCTGGCGGGCTCGAGAGAGAGCACATTTAAATTTCAAGCATTTCTTAGCGAACTTCAGCAACTTTGAGCGTATCTATCCATCTAGCCACATACGACTTTTAGCTGTCCTGGCCGTTTCGATAATGATATTGATACCAAACTTGGTAAGGCTGTATGAAAAACAAATTTGTCTAGTCAAAACTTAACAATCATGACATAGATGTCATGAATGTCATAATTTAATTTCATGGCTCTTCACCTTTTGCGGTGGTTTCGTTCACATGACATGTTAAAAAACTGGTATGGTATGACACCATTGCATGGCGAACACAAGGAACGGAACCTAACATGAAAATCATGACATGCGTGGCATGTAACAACATGTCTACATGCCACGCTCATGATGTGCCCGCGGCCGTTTCGCTAGCGCCACATTTAGCAAATTTGGTATCACGGTACGTGAATGGATGACGAAGGTATGTGACTGGTGCGAGCATGATAATCATGAGAAGCGTGTCGTTGTAACAACATGACTACATGCCACGCTCATGATGCGCTCGTGGCCGCTTTGCTAGCTTCCGTTATATCAAATACAGTATTGACGTGAATGAATGACAAAGGTATGATACTTGTGTAAACATGATAAACATAAGATGCGCGGTCATGTAACAACATGACTACATGCTATGCTCTTGATGCGCTCACGGCCGTTTTGCCAGCTTGACATGTACTAAACTCGGTATTACACGACGCGAACGGACGACTTAGGTAAATGACACATACAAACATAATATTCACGACAGGCGTGTCATGTAACAACATGACTACATGCCACAATCATGATGCGCTGGCGGACGTTTCGCTAGCTTCACATATGCCAGATTTGGTGTTACGTGACGTCAATGGATGACGAAGGTATGTAACTGGTGCAAACATGGTAATCCTGAGATGCGTGTCATGTGAGAACATGACTACATGCCACAGCAAAGCACCAATACATTTCGACGTGACGCGGCGCGCCTGCTCGCCGGCATTCCCACGACAGGTGCCAGTCCTGCCATATACTTGCAGGCGCACGCCGCGCTGCGTTTGCTTTGACGCATGAGCGTTTCAGGGCATTCGGCGTACCTCCATCACGAAAATTGAGAGACGCAGTCTAGTCTGGGTAACGCGTAGGCATAGAGTAATGTTACTCTGTTGAATCGGCGCGAAGTGCAGCATGTCGCACCTGGCGTCAGACTATGGAGTGCTCGCGTTTTGCTAATGTAGCGTCGCTGTGCCCAGCGTGCGCGCGCATCAGCGCTACACTGGAGTATATTGCACCCTTCATGATGCGCTCGCGGCCATTTAGCTAGTTCCACATATAACAAATTTGGTGGTAAGTGACATCAATGGATGACAAAATAATGACTGGTGCAAACATGATAATCCCGGCACACGAGTCATGTAAGAACATGACAACAAACCACGCTCATAGCGTGCTCGCGGCCGTTTCGCTAGCTCCTCATATGCTAAATTTGGTATCACATGACATGAATAGATGAAGAAGGTGAACGGAACATCCAAACATGATAAATATAACATAGAATTCATGCACGGTATGGCTTACCTGCACCTCGTAAGGTTGTGCTGATTTTGAAGGGACGTATCAAGATTTCTTATTGATGCTTCGCATATCATCGATTCCCACTGTACGTAGGATCTGCCAATTTTTTCTTTTGTTTGAACCGGGATCCGGGCAATCGACGTCGAACATGGACAGCACAGGATAAAGCGCAATGGGGAGAGGAGAGCGCTGACACAGCGTTGGGGACGGAAACCGGCCCTGTCGCGTCAGGCACTGCGCCGTGCTCCCAACCGGGCTGCAGAAATTAGGTGTCTTCTTCCTCTTCTAACAACTACCACCACCACCTGTCACCCCCTTGAATCCCTCCGAACTGCTATTGGGCATGGTACAGCGCTTTTCGGTGAAAGTAGACGGAATGTGAAAGATAAAAAGTGGAAGAAGAAGAAAAAAAAAGGCAGATCCCACTTACATTTGAAATCAATGATATGCGAAGCACGAATGAGGAAGGTTGATATGCCACTTTCAGATCACCACAACGTTACGAGGTGGAGGTAAATTACGCCATACACGACTTCCGGGACGTGATTATCACGTTTGGATAGGTTGTTTACCTTCGTCATCTATTCACGTCATGTGATGCAAAATTTAGTATATGTGGAGCTAGCGAAACGGCCGCGAGCACGCCATGAGCGTGGTATGTTGTCATGTTCTTACATCACACGCGTCTCATGATTATTATGTTTGCACCCTTCAAATACCTTCGTCATCCATTGGCGTCACGTAACACCAAATTTGGTATATGGGGAGCCAGCAGAATGGCCTCGAGTGCACAATGAAGGGCCCAATATACTCCAACGTAACGTTGGCGCAAGCGCACGCTGGGCACAGCAACGCTACGTTGGCCAAACGCAAGAACTCTCAAGTCTGACGCCAAGCGCGGCCGACGTGACCAGCTTCCGACGGCACGGCCCGACGCATGCTGCATTTGACGCCAATGCGTTACTCAGACAGCACTGCGTCTGCCTCTTTTCGAGACGGAGGGACGCCAGACGCGCTGAAACGCGCATGCGTCAGAGCAACGCAGCGCACGCCTGCGAGTATATGACAGGACCGGCGCCTGGGGTGGCAACGC